CTGTACAGAGCCCTGAGATGTTTGTTGCGACTTGGCGCTATTTACATACTGAATTGAATAGAACTGTATTGATCTCGTAATGGCTAATTTGCTAGTTGAAGTATCTGGCATTTTTTTGATATAAACTAGCTGACTGTATTTTGTTTTTCAGACTGCTTTGACTGACTCAGTTGATCTGTATGAAGGAAGGTTAATCAGTCTGAGTGTGCTTGGCAAGAATATATCAGGACTTCAGGAGCGAATCAACATCACAGTAACTGTTACTACAAACATAAATGTACCTGTAACTTTATTTAAATAACTTCCATTACATGTCTTCTACCACTATGTTGTCACTTAATTATTCAACTCATACCATTTTGAATGCGTAGAATATATATTTTTTTCTCTTGTAAAAATAAGTTAAAATATGTTTTGTTGATGCTGTGAAAATTAATAATGTTGTTGTGTCACAGAAAACCCAGGAACCCCAGTGTATCTACATAAATGATTTGACAGGAAGTAAGTATCTAAAATCACTTTTGTCAGCAGTAGAACAAGAGAAAATTACTTATTTTTATACAGAAAACAGTGAGTCGATGTTGTACAGATGTGACATCATCATCGCCAAAACAATKTTGTCTGTTTGACTCTAAAGCATTTGGGAGGGACGACTGTCTGAACTCGTGGGATCATGATCTGAGAGAAATCACCTGCTGCTATGATCATCTCACATATTTTGGTGTGCTCATGGTAGGGATGGTCATTTTCAAAACATGTAAATTGGTTAGGTTTGTTGAGCCTTGTCACTTTACATGATAGGACTTCTAGATTGGAATTGTAGATTATTGTTCATACATTTTTAAACATGACTGCTTCACGATGTACTGTTTTAAATGTGAAAATTATGCATGTATTTTCTCCACAGGTTGAGACAAATCCCTCATCTGTAGACCAGGCAGTTYTGTCATACATTAGTACCATTGGCTGCATCATTTCTCTCTTTGCTCTGGTCGTCACTGTTCTGATCTTTATCACTAACAGGTAATGCACTTTTCCACAGTGGATGAAGTTCATCTCAGCTCACACCATTATCTAAATTCTCATCAGTTGCCCTAAAATTTTGCCTATTTTTACCTTAATTTTTACTTTAAAATGCAACAAAAATGTCATTCCTTCCTCTTTGGACACATTTTTTAATCAGTTCTCCTATTCTGTTTCACTTTACACAGTGTAAATTTTATGCAGCAAAAATATTGTCCTGAAATCTGTTCAGAAATTGGCACTTACTGTACAACTCACACCTTCTGCCTGCAGGAAACTATGGGAAAAGGATTCTAATAAGATCCACATCAGCCTTTCAGTGGCTCTGATCCTCCTCAACCTTCACTTCCTCCCCAGTGAGGCCGTGGCAGCATCGTCCATCGATGGGTTATGTCTTTACATGGCTATTGGTCTTCACTACTCCCTGTTGGCCACTTTCAGCTGGATGGCCTTGGAGGGTTTGCATCTCTACCTTCTGTTGGTCAAAGTCTTGAACATCTACGTCAGGAGATACCTGCTCAAACTCAGCTTGGTGGGATGGGGTGAGTGGCTTCATCTGAGCACGGAAATAATGAGACTGCATCATTATTCTAAAGAAATCAGTTCTTGTGTTTCAGGTCTTCCTGCAGTCATTGTGTCAGTGGTCKTGATTGTAGACATAAACTTTTATGGCCATGCCCCAGTGGATGTGYTGAACTCCAATGGCTCTGCAATGTAAGGAAAAGGCAGAAACAAATGTTTTAACYTATACAATAATTTTGCTTTTGAAATCATTTGTTTTAGGACAATAATCATTTTTAAACTTTGAGGGTAAGAATCATTAAAAGTTTCAACAAAGTATATTACCTACTTTGGTAAAACAAACATTTAGATACATTTTCAGTGCATTTAGCTGAATATTTTGTCACAATTTTGATATGATTATAGAAAATATTTCCCACATGTTAGTGTTTGATATATGAATTTGTGCTTCCTTTCTGTTTAGTTGCTATCTAACTAATGGCACAGTGAAGTTGGGGAGCACGATGGGAGTGTTTGTCTTGGTGTTCCTCTTCAATGTGATCATGTTTGGAATTACAATCAAATGGTTTGTAAAAGCCAGATCCAGCAAAGAGGTAATTATTACACTAGTATATATTTATTATGTGTTTTGGTTTGTTTACTTACTTAACACAAATGGTTCTCATTTTTTTTAACTTGAGTCTATACGAAACCAAAAACAACACAGTTTGATCATAAATAAATAAATAAATAAATAAATAAATAAATAAATACCACTAACAAGGTCATTCCCAGCAAGCTATAAGCTGACAAGTTGGGGTTCAAGTTAAATATGATGATTATTTTATCAAGTATGTGAATGTTTTGCACAGTGCTCTGACATTGTTCCTTGTGACTTGGCTCTATTTAAATGAACTGACTTGAAATGAATCAAATTGAACTGAGCTGAGCTGAGCTAAGCGGCAATGGAACGGCACTGAAAAAAATAATAAAAATACAGTTAGATTCATATATATTTGGACAGAGACAATATATATTTTTTATTTTGGTTCTAGACATTACCACAATGAATTTTAAACAAAACAGTTCAGATGCAGTTGAAGTTCAGACTTTCAGCTTTAATTCAGTGGGTTGAACAAAATTATGTTACAAAAATATGAGGAACTAAAGCATCTTTCAAACACAATCCCTTCATTTCAGAGGCTCAAAAGTATTTGGACAGATTAAATAATTGTAAATAAAATGTTCATTTCTAGTACTTAGTTGAAAAGCCTTTGTTGGCAGTGACTGCCTGAAGTCTTGAACTCATGGATCACCAGACGCTGTGTTTCCTCCTTTTTAATGCTCTGCCAGGCCTTCACTGTGGCGGTTTTCAGTTGCTGTTTGTTTGTCATCAGGTTGTGGTGGAGGAGTAGTTGCCGTTTATAAGTCAGAACTATTAATTAATGCTAAATCTTAGTTATTATTCGTTTGAATCTTTGTCCCTCAGTCTTTCTCATCTGAAATTGAAATCAGAAAAAACCTCTACTACTTGTTGTAATTTATCATCCTCCAGGCCCTTATTCTAGTTTTATATCAGAATTCTCAGATTTTCTGACTGATTTATTATTAAATACTGATAAAATTATAATAAAACTGCACCCTTCACTTATCACACTCTTGATCTGGTTCTGATATATGGTATAGAGAGTGAGAACTTAATAATACATAATAATACATCTTCACAAACCTGTTCTCTCTGACCATTTTTAATAACCTTTGAGTTTACATTGACTGACTTTATAGCTACTGAGAGTAAACTTCATTATAGTAGATGCTTATCAGAGAATGCTGGAGCTAAATGTAAAGAATCTCTTCCATCTTTATTTTCTTCTGTCTTACAGAATAATGTAAAAGAGAACAGTAACTAAGATGATCTTGTTGATAAAATTACAACTTTATTGCAAACTTCTCTTGATGAAATTACTCCACTAAAAAAGAAAGTTATCGATGGGAGGAAGCCGACTCCTTGGTTTAATTCAGAGTTACGTTCTTTAATGTTGGGCCCGGTACAGGGCCGACAAGAGAACTGAAGGAAATCTTCTAAAATCTTGTGGGCTTAAAGGATTAAAACAGGCATCTTGAAAACTGGAGAGAAAATGGTGCTCCACTAACATAGAATAATCTTATTTAACCTGGAGAGAGAGCCTGCTAACATATAAGAAAGCCCTTTGTAAAGCTAGAACTGTATATTAGTCATCTTTAATAGAAGAGAATAAAAACAATCCTAGGTTTCTGCTAGCTAGACTAATGAAAAGTCCCATCTCTGTTGAGCCATGTATCCCTATAACTCTAAGTAGTGATGACTTCATTGGATTCTTTATAGATAAAATAATTTTATTAAGGAATACAATTCATGCCAAATTTCCTGTCACTGTCTCTGATTCTCTGTCAGAAGAGGCAGCTTTAGTGTCACAAGAACCTGATTTATGTTTGGCAGTTTTTGTCCCGTTAAGCTGTCTGAATTATCTAAAATAATAGCTTCATCCAAACCATCAACATGGGTGGCACATGTTAAGGAGCTGAAACTCCTAAACCCTTCATCCAATTTTAACGTGGATACCCTCAAATGAAAGCTGAATGTCTGGACTTTCAGCCTATTTCAGGTAAAAAGACTAAATTTGTGTCAGTGTCCAAATATATATGAACCTAACACTATGTCCATTTATCTTGGGTATTTTATTTTTAGTGTTAAGCATTACAGTATAGGCAAGGAAAACATTTTGTTCCCAGCAATGATGACACAAAAGATGAGAACAGTTTATATGACATAGATGTTATATCTATAAACACTTTTTGTTTAAAATCTAAAGCATGCTAAGTTGACTAAAAACAAACAGGAAGTTTCAAACTGGCCTCTAAATATCATCAGGTCACATCAAAGATGGTAAGATTCTCATGGTGAAGGCAATGTGTTTACCTCCACCACAAAMAAAAACTGATAAGTGTTTTAGCAGTTATTTATCGTGTTTATGGGAACAAAATCCTAGAAAAAAGATTTGACTCTGAAGAAAAATCAATGGATGGTTTGAGTTTTAAATATTATTTGTCCGACAGTGTTAAACACAAAGATGTAAAAGAGTTACTTTTCAAACAAATTAACTATACAACAAATAACTTGAACATGCTGCTTTGTCTGTTTTACATCTGGCAAATCAGATTGGAAAGAGTGCTCGTAATTCAGCCAGGAAGGAAATCTGTACCCTGCTGTTAGTGATGGTTCAGCTTGGCATCACCTGGGGTCTKATCTTCTTCTCATTTGGCCCACTGTCCACTCCTGGCCAATACGCCTTCTGTATTATCAACTCACTGCAAGGTCTGTACAGCCTGTTACAAACTCATCATCTCYTTTTTCTCTTGTGATGCTCCAACAAAATGATRTGACAGCATGAAAACATTAGATAAYCATGGTAATTCTCTCAGTGTTCAGTAAAGGTAGTTGCTTTTGCAGATGCAAAGTTAAACATTTAGGATTTTTTCACACAGCATGCCACCACGACCAAACAGAAGTATTTAGCTTCCTTTAKTACTCAACAAAAATTTGTTAAACTTTTTTTTGTCTTCTTCCTTTTGGACCTCTCTTTAGGGGTCTACTGATATAAAAACATGTGCAAAGTATCTACACCCTCTTTTTTGTTTGTTTAAAGCTCAGCTAAAAATTTTATTTATGGGAGATGCCATGTTGTATTTATGGAGTCAGAGTCTGTGTAACTGAAATGTGGGATTGTAAGCCCCGCCTACTCCCACAGACACAAAGTGTATTTTTAGCCATCAAATTAATTTAARAGCTTTAAAGAACAAATTAACATTTGGCGATAGAGAAACAAGGAGAGAACTACATGTGTGTCAACACCTGGAAAAAATACCTGGGCTTCACATTAATGTTGTAATCTTATACAACAGCATTAATAGACAATTTAATGTAATGTAAACAATTTATATCCTTAGTCTATATTATTACATTTAAATTTTTAATTCTAATTCAAACAGAATAGCCTCAAGTCAGCATAATTATAGTGTGTGATTTATTTTCAACTCACATCTTCAAACTAATGAAATATAAAGTTATTAATGAAGACAATCGGTCTGGATAACAGCAGACTGACTGCATGTAAAATATACGACAGGTCTGGACCACTCAAGAATTTTGTTCATATCTGAAGAAAATCTTAGAATACAAAAAAATTGGTGAATGCCACAAATTCTCCTAAATCACTCGTACGCACAACTTAAGAACAAATCTGTTCGTACGAACGGTTCTTGCATGAGGCCCATTGTGAGGCTGTGTCTTTAAATCCATCAATCAATCTTTTGAATTACTTCATGTCCCGCCCCCTCCAGCTTCCAGAGCTGTTCATTCAAGTTTGATTGAGGGGTTTATGACTTGGTTTATCTAGTTTCGCAAAAAAAAATTTTTTTT